TTCACTCTGGCCCCTAAGTCCGCAATTCAAACCACTCCCTATAGGTATTGCCCTGCATCTGGCCTCTTTCCCTCCTCCATGGCTTCCTTCCAGGCCTCCTGGCCTCAGCCTCTCCCCTCCAACACATCCTCCACTTCGCGGCTGGAAGGATCCTTCCAATGCCTTCCATTAATTGACAAATGGAGACCATACCAGTTCCCTGCTTAAAACCCTCAGGTCTCCCATTAGCTTCTGTTCTTAGCAGTGGAACATTTGTCAATTATCGTCCTGTTTAGAATCCTGATATAACATGGTTAAAATACTGTGCTTGAAGCAGGAGGTGGGGCCAGGGCTCTGCCTCCTTGGCGTCCCTCTCCCCATTTCCAGCTGCCGCAGTCGTTTCAAGAGCTTCCTCAGAGCCCTGGGGATTAAAGAAGCACGGCTTCAATATCTCTGGATCCTCGATAAGGTCCAGGCCCTTAGTACAGAAGCCAAGGCCCTTCCTGTGCCACCAGTGTCCCTCCCTGGCTTCACTACAGGTGCTCTCATCATGGCCTGGCCCAGCAGGCTCTCACCTGGAAGACCCTCCCTAAAATCCCCAGCCAAATGTTTTCTCCTCCAGGAAGCCCTCTGGTTGCCTCAGCTCCCCAAGAGCTCCACGCTCCTTTCATGGCTGCAGGGGCCAGGCAAATGCCAGGCCCTAATTCAGGCCCCCCCGGAAGCCCGTGAGCTTTTCTTTCTCCTCAACCTCTCGTCCTGACCCCCCAACCTCTGAGGCAATCATCCTGGTTCCAGAAGCTTTCCTGCTAGTGAAGAAGGAGATAGGAAAACAGAAAACCCAGGGGCTACAAGGATCTGATCCCTGAGGTGTGAACCTGAGCCTTCCAGGCACCCTAGGCCTGGTTGCAGGGATAGCCTGGTCTGTGTCAGCTCCATGTCACTAACTCCCCTCCCCCTAGGCGGGCATGGGGCAGGCCCAAACGGCCGGCCGGTTAGTCTCCAGCCTCCTTAACAGATCCTCATTCTCTATCTCTGGCTTTTGTAAACACTGGACCCAGACCCACAGCCAGGCCCAGGCAGGGACACACCCAGATATGCACACAGAGCCCCTTGGACACACGAAGGCACACACAGGCCCTGATGGATACCCACATGCATGCATGGACCCCATGGTTGTCCACGTGTCCATGCAGACCTCCATGGATATACACACACACAGCCAAGAACACACATGGATGCGTATGCATATTCACATAGGAGGACATGTGGCTCTGAGTAAGGAGGCAGCTTCTAGAATGAGCCTTTCTTTCTATGTTGACTATGTAATACAGTTTTTAAAGCCTGAAGCACCCACAATCTTGTTTGGTTCTTACAGTGGCTCTGGGTTGGGGGATGGGAGGACTTCATCTGAAACTTCCAGGTGACTGATGAAGAAACTGACACTGAGGGCTGGGAGAAGAGAGCTGTCTAGGTCACCTGACTGGTGAGTGGCCAAGCCAGACTTGGAGCTGAGATTCTGGGTCTTGGGGAGGCCTCTGCCCCATCAGCCTAGACTTTGTGACTCTGGGCCCTTCCTCAGCAAGGAGTCTAGGCCACTGCCTCATCCATCTGCCTCCTCTAGGACTCTCTGCTATACCCAAAGGGTGCCAAGGGCACCTCAGGGACACCAGAAGGTGAACCCAGAATCCCCAGGATATGGGTCTAAAGGTAGATTTTTCTCAGGGTCCAGCTGGACATCTGGCTGGAGGTGCCAAGGGGGTAGTTTGTGTTCATGGGCTCTCTGCCATCTTGTCTGGAGACAGGGGGTGACTGTTGGTGCAGCAGGAGGAGAGGCTCGTCCGCCCCCCAGTCTGGGGACGCTCATAATAGGATGATACATCTCTGCTCTCCACTCCCAGTTCAAGTCCAGAGCCAGCCCCCAACTCTTGAGGCCTAGGAGCAGGAACAATGTCCAGCAGTGGCCTAAGAGTGAGACACATTCTAGAAAGGGAGCTCAGGTGTGGAGAGACTTAGTGGGTTCCTGTGCCCCGGCTCCCTGCTCCTCCTGTGCCTTGGACCTGAGGCTCCCTGGCCTCTCTGCCCTTCTCTACCTCTCCTCCTCATCCCCATGGGGTTTGAGCCTCCCAGATCGATACTCAGTGGCTGAGACCTTAGCAGGTGACTTCTTTCCAAACCTCAGTTTTGTCATCTAGGAAAGGGAGGGGATACAGTCACTTTTGGGGGTTGTTTTGCAAATAGGAGGAAGTGCTTTCTAAACTTGAAAATGTCTGTATGTCTGCTTTGGTCTGCCACTCCCCCCATCCCGCTCCAATGCTCTGGAGGAGATTAGGGGGGTTGAAGAGGCCGGGTGGACTGTAGCATGATCTGTTCTCTTATGTCTACACTCGTCTCTACCCCATTTGCTGACAGCAAGAACCATGTATCTTCTGATGGTTCAGGCTGCTCCTATTGAAGCAAAAAGAGTTTGGGGGTCAGACAATGAACGATGTGCCACCACCTCTCTGCCCCCTTACAGGGCCCCAGCCAGCCCCCCTCTGGTCCAGCAGGCTGGGACCTGCATCTTTAGCCCTTCCCTTGCCTGGGAACCCACTCCCCCAGCTCTGACCCCAAGGAGTCACAGCCTCCCATGGGGTGGATGGGCTGTCAAGGCCCCTTCCTGGGCTCAGCCCTCCCGCCCAGGTGAGACATAAACTTTGCTCAAGATGCCCTGGGAGGAGGTGGTGCCTCCTCATCTGCATCCTCCCAGAGCTCCCAGGTGGGCTGGCTTCTAGCCTGCACTTGGTACTGGTTTTTCTTCCCAAAGCACAGGAGGGAGCCCAGAGGGCTATAGGTAAGCTATGTGACTCAGAGCCGGGCCCTACCAAGCTTCTCTGTGAAGCCATGCTTCTTCCTACCTTCTGCCCCAGAGGGCGCCAGTGACACTGAACTACAATAAGAAAAGTTGTACAGTGAGGTCCTGCTTCAGCGCCCAAACTCAGGCCAGCCTGGCACTTCTGGACAAAATCCCCAGGCCCTGACCCCTCTTAATCCCACATGAGGGCTGGCAGGAATAAGGGACCGTTGGAAGGCATTGCATTCTTCTTCCTCTTCCAGGCCCACTCAAAAGCACCAAGCCCTGACCCAAACCCATCCCAATGTGCATGTGTATGTACATGTATGAACATGTGTGTGCACACAAGTTATAGATAGGAATGAGTTTGGTGGGAGTATTTGGTGCAGCACATGTGAACACCTATAAGCTGAGTGCAAACATGGGTGTTTAGGGGCCTTGTGTGTGTCTGCTGGTGGCAAAGCTGCTGCTGTCTTTCTCCTGCGCTCTGGTTTCCAGGCCAGGCCAGGATGGGCCTCAGTGAGGATGGGGTGCTGTGGGCTGGGGTTCCTTACTTTCTTCCAGGGTTGAGGAGCCCCTTGCCAGTCCCTGTGCAGCCCCAGCTGAGGCATCGAAGGGCTAAGAAGCACATCCTGTGACAGGGAGGAGAAAGGGCAGCCCAGTAGAGGGTGTGTCCCCATTTCCACAGTCTGCGCTCTGGCATCAGGAGTCTAGGGTTGTGTCTTGAGTCACAGACTGGCAGTGGGGCTGTGGGTAGACACTTGGTGATGGCCCCCTGATTCACCGTGGGCCTCCCAGCCCATGGTGGCCCAGGGAGTGGGGGCGCTTCTCCCTGGGCAAAGAGCCATGGGAGATCTCTTGTGTGGGTTACATATATGTTTGAGCCCATGGCCAGGCTCTCATGTGAATGGGATCCCATGAGCATGTGAACAGAGCTCAGTGTTTATAGGTGAGTGTGCCTGCCAATCTCAGGGTGTGTGTGTGTGTGTGTGCGTGCGCATGTGTGAGTGTGTAAATTTACCCAAAATGTGTTGCTAAACCCCATCTCTCTGGGTATGAGTCATCTCTGGAGCCCTCATTTCTGACAGCCACTCCTCAAGGGCTAAGCCCCCAGGGCCCTTAGACCACCTGGATGAAGTACCTCTGGAAAATGTGGTCTCCTCTGGCAGTGCTGCCATCTTGACTGGGGTGAGGTCAGATTTGCTCCCAGTCCTCTGGAAGTAGGGCCCAGGCCACCACACCTTAGTTTCCCAATTATTAAATGCAATATGGGGAGCAACGTTGCCTCACGAGCCCCCTCAGATGGGGCCGACAACCCTCACAGTTTAGCCAACTTAACCTCTTAAAGGGTCAAACTCTCCCCTGGCTGGGCATCAGCGAGAGTGGGGGAAGAGAGGGTTAAAAACGGCTGGGACTCACCCTGCTGGCAAGCATGTGGCATGTGGCATGTCCAGACAACTGCAGCTCGGCCTCTGGAGCCATGTGCAAAACACACGCAGGTACACGTGTGGCAAACTGAGTTAAGCCAGCCAGGTTCAACAGACATATGCACAGCCCCGAGAAATGTCCAAGTGTGGTCTGGTACACAGGACAGACGTCATGTGCGGACCCAGCTGTGGACAGAGCTGGTTAGGACATGCAACATGGGACATGTACTCAGCACAAGGAACACGGCCCATGAACGCTCAGCATATGTTCTGTGAGCCCACCCAGGTCCGGACTATGAGAGGGTCTCTTCTCCCTCGGGGCCCACCGCCTCCTCCCTCCAGCCCCCTGACGGAGGACCTGCTGGGTCCAGCCATCCTGTAGAGCTGGGTGGGGCCAGTCCTTTCCTCTCTGACCTGCCTCTCTCACCCGCACCGTCGTGTGGACGACCGAGGAGGTCTCTGGTGGCGGCTTCATTCTCCCCAGCCACGGTCCCGCACCTGCCTGTACCCCACGCAATCCCCTCTCAGACCCGCGCGATCCCCTCGGCCCCCAACACGCCTCTTCCTCTAAGTGCCCTCCCGGAGCGAACGTCACCCCTAAAGCTCCTCACACACACACCCGCCGCCCCCTCCCTTCCCGCTCAGCTTCCCCCAGCCCAGCGTCCCCACCGGCCTCCCCAGGCAAAGCGGTGGGGGGCGGCCGCCCACACGTCGGGCGGGGCTGCGGGGCGGGCGGGGCGGGCGGGGCGCGTGCCTCTGGCTCCTATAAAGGGCGCCACCCGGCGTTCGGGGCCACCGCTGCCGCCTCGCCGCGCTCGCCGTCACAGCCAGCCCACCTCGGACGCGCCGCCGCTCCCGCCATGGGTCGACAGAAGGAGCTGGTGTCCCGCTGCGGCGAGATGCTCCGCATCCGCCACCGGCTGCTTCGCCAGGCTCTGGCTGAGTGCCTGGGGACCCTCATCCTCGTGGTGAGTGGAGGGACCCGGAGAAGCCTTTCTCTCTCCAGGCCCCCCGCGCTCCGCGGCCTCTCTGTTCACACTGGAGGGGCTCTTTTTCAAGGCTGGCGCGCCCCCTCTCCCTGCTCTGCTCCACACCTTGACCCTTTCCAGGGTGGTCTTTCCCCTAGCTCTAACCCCATCCCTGACAGCTCTGACTCTTGCCAGAATGTCAGCCCTTACTCCACTGACAGCTCTGATGGGTCACCCTCTCACCAGGGCCGCAGCCCACAGGCAGGGGCCAGTGGTCACCCCTGCGGTCTGAGACCTCCAGGGTCTTCTCCTGGCTCTCAGCTCCCCAGGTGCCCCGAGTCCCCGCTCTGGGAGGCAGTGGAGGCTTTGGCAAATGGGCCCCTATTAGATTATTTGGGTCCTGGATATCTGGCCCCTAATGAATAATTAAGCTTCAGAAAGTCCAAAAGTTCCCCTGACGTGAGGACAGTTTGCCACGGGTGGGGGCAGAGGGCGGAGGCCACACAGGTGCAAACAGCAAAGTTGGAAGAAAGGAAGATCCTGAAGATAAGGAGGCTGTGGAAGGCAGCTGGGCCCCGGGGCACAGAGGACGTGGTGTCACTAAGTCACTCCTCTTGTGCTGAGCGGCCCCCAGACCCTGTCAGTCACCCAGACAGATGCTATCATCCTCTGCCCAAGCACTCTGAGTTACTCCCCAGCCTTTAAATCAACCTCTGAGTTAGCTTGTGGGTTCTCAGAGTAGGCCACTTTCACTACCTGGGTCACTCCCCAGTCCATTTACTCCCTGGTTACGACAGTTTTGTCCCTAGGTTGTTTCTGGGTGACTTTGTTTGCGTTTCTTGGGTTTGACAACCACTTTCAGTCTCCATTTCCTGTCCTACCTCCTCTCTAATTTTCAGCCCCTCATGTGGTCACAACTGTTTTCTTCTGGGTTACTTCTGGGTTCAGTTTCTTCATTGTGGTGAATGGGTTATTCCGTTCCTGCACCAGCCCTAACTGTAGGTAACGCAGACCAGCCAGCCCCCTGTGGACTAGGAAGCTTAACTAGAGGCAAGTAGGTAGAGCTGGGGGTGGCCCAAATGGGTGGTGGTGGTAGAGCAGGCTCCGTGGCGAGAGAAGGTCTTAGACTCACCTTTGGTTTCCAGGAACAGCAGCGGAGAAGCCAGGTGGGGCACTTTATCCACAGCCCCTTGCAAGACTAGTGGCCCTACTCGTCTTCCCCGTCCCTTCTCTCCCCATGCCAAGAAGGGAAGAGGGGGGAAGAGAGGGGCAGGTGCTTTTCACCCTCCTGTCCCAGAGCCTTGCGTCCCTCACTCCCTTTCTGATTGATGGTCCATGCCCCTGTCCGCGAGCAGCCAGAACAGGGGACGTTGTCTTCCACGTTCATAGAAGGGGCTCCCTAACCCCTCTCCCATCTCAGTCAGCCTCTCCCACAAAGGAGCAGTCAGGCCTTGCACTGAGCCCCAGGATCATTTGGCTTATCCTCAACCACAAAAGGAGGGTGTTAACTTCTGTGAAGGCCTTCAGGCTCAGGTTAGCGTAAGGCATCTGGTGTCAGTGAAAAGCAGACTCTCCAGGGCGGCCTGGAGAAGAGGGGCTAGGCCTGGGAGAGCCCCGAGTGGTGGGTGAAGGCTTGCCTGCATACCTCTGTGCACTGGGGACCCAGAGCCTGCGGTGGCCGGATCACAGCTGGCCTTGGGGGGAGGGTGGACCCTTTCTCTGGGGTGCCTAGCAAGGCGGGGAGTGGGGGGGAAGGGGGGGAAGGAAGACAAAGATTAGCCCCAAGGTGGTGGAACTGGCTCTGACAGTTTCTCCCTCCAAGGTCTCCTGGGATGAAGCCAGGTTTGGGCCTCAGGCAGGAAAAGAGCTGGGGCCACGGCCTGCCAAGCCGGGCAGAGTGCCCCGGACCCCCATGGGCCCCCCCCACCCCCCGCATACTCACAGTCTCTGATCTTTGCTCTCACCTGCCTACACGCCACCTTTGCCCTGCCATCACTGCCGCTGGCTTCCCCACTATCTCTTAGTCCTTCTGAGGGATGATCATCAAAGTGCGTAACGACCCAGTACAACAGGACAGTGACCCATCCAAATGGACAAGGGCCCTTAGCACAAGTTTTGGGAGCTGCCCGCTGGCTAGGCCTAACACTTTTAGTGATGGGGAGGTAGAAGAGGAAACCCAGGGCAGGGCCTCGAGTGAGCAGCTTTAGGGAACACTCCGGAGGCTCAGGGCGATAGTTCTTTGTGTAGGGTACAGAAGCATTTTTACATTTAAATAAGAGGAACAGGATTTCTATACTTGCAGCACATCAGGGACCTTAGTCTTCTTGAATCTCCCCATCACCGGCAGAAACCACCGGCAGAAACCTCAAAACCAGTCTCCCCACTTCCAGTGCCCTGCTGCCGTTAGTGAGAGGGGCCACTGAGATCATTGTCTTTATGACCTCCACATCTGAGTAGGGAACCTGGACCCCTGAGGGCCGAGAGGGCAGGGTGGATGGAGAGAGGAGGCTCTGGGACAGGAACAGGGGCAGGGGCAGGGGCTCTGACGTTCCAGATTCAGGAGAAGTGGACTCCGCCTTACTTCTGACCTCCTCCCTATTTCTCTGTGCCCTGCACCACCCCCACCCCCACCCCCTTCGCCAAAGCTCTTCTTTGGGACAAGGAAGGAGGCAAGTACAGGTGGGGGATGAGTGAGAGCCTTCCCACTTTGTGGGCCGGGCCTGAAGGGCTGCTGGAGAAAGTGTGCTAGGGTGAAAGCTGCTCCCCTATACCGCACTCCTACTGAGATTCCCGAAAAATCAGAGAAGACGGTCCAGCCATCTTTTGGGCTGCCAGTTGTAGACTCTGCTTCCAGTCCCTTCCATAGGGCCCTGTTAAATTAAAGTTTGGGTGTTGTGGGTGAGAGAGCATGTCTGCTTATTCTGCGGGCTACAGTTGCCACAGGAGGGGTGTGGGTTGGATTCCCCTGGGAAGGGCTTCCCTGTCCTCCAGATGACGGCAAGTGGAGGTTGCTGGATTCATCCCTTCCCTCTGGAGTCACAGAGTTGCTGGGCCTCACTCTCCCTGCCTGGTTCTCTTTCTTGATACAGATGTTTGGCTGTGGCTCTGTGGCCCAGGTGGTGCTCAGCCGGGGCACCCACGGTGGTTTCCTCACCATCAACCTAGCCTTCGGCTTCGCTGTCACCCTGGGCATCCTTGTGGCTGGCCAGGTCTCTGGTAAGGCCTTGCTCTGCCCTCAGTCATTACCCTCAAATGGCATTCCCACAAGGCACCCAACTGATGGGGTGGCAGGGGACATTCCCAAGGGCAAGGCATAGCCGTGGCCTCAGCTTTTTTGAGCTTTGGAAGAGAAGAACGGAGAAGGGACTTGATACTTTGAACCTTTGACTCTCACCTTGGAATCCGATTATCAGAGTTAGCCTGTTACATAGTCCAACCCACCGTCTGGTACAAGAAAACCTTTCTCTGCACCCGTGCTTTCGAGGGCCAGAGAGGGGGAATATGGAAGTTAGGGATCCTGGCCTCCCCACTGTGGCAAGCTACAGTGACTGATAGGTCCCATCCCCCCTCTGCCCAGGGGCCCACCTGAACCCTGCTGTGACCTTTGCCATGTGTTTCTTGGCGCGCGAGCCCTGGATCAAGCTGCCCATCTACACCTTGGCGCAGACGCTGGGAGCCTTCTTGGGTGCTGGGATTGTTTTTGGGCTGTATTATGGTAAGCATTCCCCACCCTGCCATCCTCCACTACCTCCCTCCCTCTGCTTGGGACCTGTTGGCATCAGGCCTTTTGATGACAGACAGCTGGGGCCTGCCCAAGCCCGGGGCTCATGACTCACTCATTCACTCACGGGCCCAAGGTGGGCACAAGGGGAAAGAAACAAGTTGGGCAACAATAGAGTCTCAGGCTGTCCACTCCCCCACCCCCCACCCCCACCTGTCCACAGACTCCTGAGGAGTACAGTGATGTACTCACCTGTGATCCCCCAGGAGGGTGGGCCCAGCCTGAGACTGGAGAGCGGGTCGGCTTCTGCCCTCACCCCCTCTGGGTCTGATCTGTCACCAGATGCAATCTGGGACTTTGCCAAGAATGAGCTCATAGTCTCGGGCCCCAATGGCACAGCAGGCATCTTTGCCACCTACCCCTCTGGACACTTGGATATGGTCAATGGATTCTTCGACCAGGTACGGGCCAGGGAACCGTGAGGGGAACACAGGGAGGAGGACCAGGCTGCTCAGCTGCTTGTGGGTGGCTGGCGGACAGGGCTCCTTGTCTATAGCAGGGTTTCTCAATGTGTGGGGACACCTACATCAGAATCATGGTGGCAGGCATCGGCATATTTAGCCAGGTCCCCAGGGGATCCTTTTTGCACGCTCACATTCTAGCACCACTGCTGGAAAGAGCTGAACTCCGGAAGCGGTAAGACTGTAGGAGCCTGAGGACAGAGGAGGGACCAGAGGCTGGGGTAGGAGCAGCTCCTCACCCTGTCCTCCCCACTCCGCAGTTCATTGGCACTGCCTCCCTCATCGTGTGTGTGCTGGCCATTGTTGACCCCTACAACAACCCCGTCCCCCGCGGCCTGGAGGCCTTCACCGTGGGCCTGGTGGTCCTGGTTATCGGCACCTCCATGGGTTTCAACTCTGGCTATGCTGTCAATCCCGCCCGGGACTTCGGTCCCCGCCTTTTCACCGCCATTGCTGGCTGGGGCTCTGAAGTCTTCACGTGAGTGCAGCGCCCCCTTCCCCTGGCCTGCCCTAGCCTGACACCCCTCTGCTGCCCACCTGCCCCCGACTGCCTGTCTGTCTGTCCCCAGGACCGGCCGCCACTGGTGGTGGGTGCCCATCGTGTCTCCACTCCTGGGCTCCATTGCGGGTGTCTTCGTGTACCAGCTCATGATCGGCTGCCACCTGGAGCAGCCTCCACCCTCCACTGAGCAGGAGAATGTGAAGCTGGCCCATGTGAAGCACAAGGAGCAGATCTGAGTGGGCAGGGGCTACCTCCCCGCCCCCTCCCTTGAGCATCCCCAGACTGTGCAGGGGCTGCTGCCTAGAAGCCTTCATGGGTCCCTCCCAGACTGAGAAGCTCCTTGTCAACTCCCACTCCAGTGGACAGCCCCCTTGGGGACTCTCCCCAGGATGCTCCCCAAATAGGCCCTTAGGACTCTGTCTTTAAGCTGTGGTGGGACAGGGAGTAGGGCCAACATACCCTTTGTTTCCCAAAAGGAGAATGGGCGGTGGGCATGTGAGCATGTGTGCACGTGTGTGTATGTATGTGCGCGCGTGTGTGCTTTCCAAGATACTCAGGGCAAGGGACCAAGTGGAAAGGATTCTAGCTGTTGGGGGGAGACCAGAGGAAGGCGAAGATCCATCTGTGGTGTGTGCCATCTGTGAGTGAGGAAAGTGTGAAGAGTCTGCATGTTTCAGGGGGCTCCATACGGAGAAGGGTCCAGATATATGTGTTTCTGAGTATGTGTGTGTATGTGCCCTTTTTTCTAAGCAGGGAGCTTCTCTAGGCTTTGGGGGAGGTAGGGTGGGGTCGTGGGGGTGGGGCGGGGAGGAGGAGGCCACAGCCCAGGTATGGAGCTCTGGTTGTATATAAGTAAGAACAGGACGTAGTTCTGTGATAATGTAGGCATGAGGGGTGGTGGGGTGAAGTCCAGGTCATAAGTTTCATGCTTGCCTTTTTTTTTTTTTTTTTAATACAGCAGATGTTATAGTTTTAGGGATGGGGGTTGGGAGACTCTTCTTAAAATAGGGTCTTCACTCCTTTAATATTCCACTCAAAAAATGTACTCTTTTGCCTTTTATAAAAAAACGATAATAATAATAATAAAATGTGTGCCTAAAACTGCCAGTTTGCTCTGCTGTTGTTCTGGGGCTAGCTAAGGAGCTTCATGGTGTCCAGCCACAAATACCAGCAAGGGTGCCCCGCTGCTGTCTCACCTGGCCAGGGTACCCTAGGGCTAGTAGTTGGGCGCTGCCGGGGAGGGGGGTGAGGCGGGGGGGGTGGGCAGAGATCAGTCCCACAGACAGGTCAGAGAGCCTTTTCACCAAGCCTCTCAGCTTGAACTCAAGCGGCCCCACACTTTCCCCCAAGCTTCCATCCTCTTGCACAATGAATGGCATCTCCTTCCTGACCCCTGCACCTACCCATCATCCCAGGAAGGCGGGCTTGAACCTGGCCTAGAGAAAAACGTTTTCTCCGGCAGAGGTGGCCAAAAGGGAGGACTACTATTCACGAAGCAGACCAATCAGATGAGGGGCCTGTATAGGCTTCTATAGCTTGCCGCTGTTTAGGGTCTATCATCTCCACCCAGACCTTGGCCACAGCCCCCTTAGCGGCCTCCCTGGCTCCGGGCTTACCCCAGCAGCAATCAGAGGGATCTTTCTGACACCACTGTTGAAAGTGGGCTTCTTTCCATGGCTCTGCCCACTATCCAGACACAACCCCAAATCCTTTGCACTCGGTGCCCCCAGGACCTGGCCTGTGATCCCTACCTACCCCTCACAATCGTCCATTGCCGCCAGACTCCTCGGTGCCCTTCTGTGCCTTCCTCCCTTTGAACCTTTGCTAGCGCTCGCTCCCTGAAATCCGCCTGGTCTGCTCTACCATCTCCTCCTCTAGAAAGTCATCCTTGCTCCAACCCCACCCTTCCACCATTTTCTAGTCAGTCCTCTGAACTCAGGGAGCGTGGCTACGTTCATCCTCGCCTTCCCCTCTGCTCAGTTCTTCAGTCTGATGCCTCTGCTGCCCGCAGGGCTGGGGTGAGACCACTGACCCGACTGCCCCCAGGGAGGCGAGGGGCTCGGCGCCCCTGAGCCCAGGAAGCTCTGTCAGGAAATCATGGGCCCCTTCTCACCTTCTCCTTCCCTACCTCCTTACCAGATCCTCTTCAAGTTTCACTGGGAATAAAAGGGAAGGCGGGCCCCAAGCTTAGCCCTCCTGCAGAGTTAACCCCGTGGCAGCCAGAGGATCCCTGGGTCTGGAGGGAGAAATGTGGCTTTTAGAGATTAAGCTGGTGCTCCCCAGCCACTTCGTAGATGAGGGGGCCTGGCCCAGAGAGGGTGGGTGGCAAACGCAGGGCCACACAGCCAGGACTCTGGTGGAGGTGGTGATGGGAGAAGGCCAGGTGAGAGACCATCTCAGGTCTCCAACCCCTCCTTGTCCCCAGCTCCCAAGAGGTGTGTCCGGAATGTTGGAGAGACCTGAGCCAGAGGGAGTGTCCCCTTCCCAGGCCCCGAGGGGAGGAAGGGCCACCCTTGGGAGGAGAATGTGGTTTCAGAATTTCATTCCAGCCACACCAGTCCTGCCTCTGGGGCCCGTACCCTGCCATGCTGCCCGGCATGCCCCCTGCCTTCTCGAATCCTGCAGCTGATCCCTGCGGGTCAGCCCCGCGGGGGGTGGGAGGCCTTCTGGTGCAGTGGTTAAAGACTGGTCAAACCTGGATTCCAGGTCCAGCTTGGCTTTCCTCCACCTGTGTGACTTTGGGGTGGTCATTTTTCTTTCCCTGAACCTCAACTTCCTGTGACTTGGGAGGTATTGAGAGGAGGAGGTAGTGGAAGATAAGTCATGGAAAGGACTTAGCAGAGTGACCAGCGGATACTAAATAGTCAATAAATGTCAGCTTACGATTTTTCCTGCAGAACTGGGGAGGAGGGGGTGGCGGTGGTGGAGAGGTGCTGAAGGCTGTTTTTTAGAGGTCATTGAATTCAACATCCTCTTCCGCCTCAGATTCCTTCCACGGATTCTGAATTTCCTGAGAGGGGGGAGGAGGAATGGGGGCGATGGCTAGCTGTGCCCTGACTTGAGGAGGCTTTCCGACGGGGATCGAAGGGAACGCGAGAGGGTCATGTGCACAGGTGCACAGGGCAGAGGAGCTGGCAGCCCGGGGAACATGTTAGATGGAGGCTCGGACCGCCCGAGAAAGGGTCGGGCCTGGCCAGGCGCAGGGAGTCAGGGCAGGATCTGGTGGGGACGCGAACCAAGCCGCAGTGAGCCACCCCTCCTAGCACAGGAGGGAAGCCTCCCACCCCCCCAACTCACGTCCAGGCTCTGCCTCTCATTAGTAGTTTTAGCTGATAACAAGTTCTAGAAAGAAATGTCTTATCTCCTTTCGGAAAGCATCTTAGTCCACTTTCCAGGCTGGGCTTGGAGGGAGAATGGCCCTGTGCGAGGGTAGATAGATCCCACACCTCGGCTCTGTCCTCCCCGTTGAGTCCTCTCCACAGGTCACTCTGGAGTCACACCATGTTTCTTTAAAAGTTCTAACTCGTTTGGCTTGAAATCAGCCTCCCTGAAACCTGAGCTCAGTTCCTGTTTCCTGGTGTGCCTGCCTCTGTGTGTGCACACACACGTGCAAGTGTGCATTTCTCGGTGTTTCTGGTTGGGGCTGGCTTTTAGTAGGTCTTACTATGTCTCTGTGGCTCTGTGACTCTGGCCAACCACATCTCTGCCCCTTTCTGTGTTTCTGTCACTGCCTGGCTCTTTGTGTCTGGATCTTTCTCTGTGTGCCTCTAAGTTAACATCGGGTGTACCCTAGCCCATCTCTGCGTGTACCTAGGAGTGACTCTCCTGCCAGCCCAGTCCAGCTCGTCTTACCCCAGGGCATGCCTCCTCCTTAATTCCTGGTAATGAGCTCCCTCCTTCTTGCTAACTCTTTCCCCTTGATTTTGTTTGTCTGAAAAACTGGGTGGGGCTCCCCCTGGGCTTGGGGAAGCATGGGTGGGGTAGAGTTGGGTAGGGTGGGAAGGGGAGAGGAGGGACGACTCCAGCCCAGAGACCCCAGAGGCCAGAGGTGCCCCTGATCTCCCAAGGAAGGGTCTGTGGGGGTGCTAGCCTAGGCAAGGCTCTGCAAAGCCTCACTGGGAGGAGGGAGCCTGTTCTGGGGTAGGTCCCTGAGGTTGTGGGCCAGGGAATGCTGGCCATGCAAAGGGAGGAGAGCTGAGGCACTAGGGCCCTCAGCGAGACTGAAGGGGGCTCACTGAAGAACACCTCTGAGTCCTAAGTGGGCAGCAGCTAGGGGTGGTCTCCTCAGGGACTCAGCGTCTCCCGGCCTGAGGCCTCAGCCTTTCGTGCCAGGTTTATCTGAGGTAAAGGAGAGAGGCAATGGGAACAGAGGCTCTTTCTGGTCTCTTGGCTCCTTGGCTGTCCCAGAGTGGCATGAAGGGGAAACTGAGACCCAGAGTCTCACTTGGGATCACAGAGCAGTGCAGCATAGCCTGCACTAGAATCCAGCCTCCTGTCCCCTACCTGGCTCCCCATAGCCCCTTTCCCAGACAGCACTTTGCAACAGCTCAGGGAGCAAGGCTCTGGGTCCAGATCACCAGCCCTTCTGAGCTGTGGGACCTTAGGCATGTGGAGGTCTCCATCTCCCCCAGATCCCATCTCTGGCCTGCCCTGTGCCTCAGGAGGCTAATATCTATGGGGTGCACCCCCAGGGCCCTCTTGCCCCTGGCTTACCTTTGGCTTTGGCAAAAAGGAGGCACAGGCAGGAAGCCAGAGGGCAGGGAGGGTGGAGTGGGGGTGTGGGAAAAGGTCAGGGCCTTCACGTCTTTTCCTGGGCTTTCACTGCATCCCAGTACCACTGGTCTCTTCGGCTGCCTGCTCTTCGTCGTCAGGCCTGAGGACTACCCCTTGTTGGTTCCTGTGACCCTGACCCTGCCTCTGTACATCATCCCATTCACAAGCTCATGTCAGTGGAGCCCTCTGAGGACGTATTGTTCCTGCTGGGTCCCTGATAGAGTCCACCCCTCTGCTCTTCATCTGTACAATGGGGTTAGTAACAGTACCTCACTGGGTTGCACAAGGTGAGGATTAGGTGAGTTAGTGTATGTACACAATAATGCCAGATGCAGTAGTAAATGCTGCAGAATATAGAATAATAGTATTATTACTATTATTTTGTCACGCATCCTTGTGCAGAGAGGGAAAGTGTGACACCAAGCCAGGCTTGGAGTGAAATGCCTGACTCTCCAAGGCCATCTCTTCCAGCTCCAGGCTGTTTGCCGCTTCTGTGGGACCTTAGTCAGCCAGGGGGTCTAGCCCCAGTCCCTCCAATTCACTTGGACCCAGCTTTCCCTGAGAAGACTGGGGTGAGGGGAGATGGAAGCCAGAGCCCCCTTCCCACCCTGGCTCTTCTCCAGAAAACTCAGGCTCCTGAGAAAGGGAAAGGTGGCTTGGGTTCAGAGTGGTTGTAGCAATGAATTAAGGGTTCACAGGGTGGTATATTTGGGATCAGGGGAGAGAATAAATCCCAGGGAGGTTGAATCCCAGGGAGAAGCAAAATC